TCAAAAAAAGACAGCAACTTATTAACTAATTATCTTCGAGGTGTCGGCGTATAGCCGAGCTTATCCTTTTTCTCTTTTTCCAGATCACCACCGAGATTGTAGCGCTCTTTGATTTCTTCAAGCCTTTCTTTTGCTTTATCCGTGTCCATTCTTTTGTATGCTTTTGTAGCCTGTAAACGCAAACATCAACAAATAGCGATGTGCTTCAGGTCTAGGAATTTTTGTGACTTATTCACAACCCTTCACCATCCGGGCTACTTCGTAGTCCCATTTCTCACAGAAGGTGGATGCGAGGAAAATTTTGACTTTGATATTCGCAAAAAAAAACACCCCACCAAAATGAGGGATCACATAGAAAACACAGAAAATCAGCTAGCAAGAAAAGCTGTTCGTTTCATGGTTCACAATACGTACCCGCAAATGATACCCGCATGGCAGAAAAAGGCACCGAAGAAAGGTACCCGCTGGGTCAAAACAAGAAAAAAGCCCAAATGAACCAGCCAATTCCGGTGAGCAATTGTAATTCAGTAACACCAAGAGCTAATCCGAATGTTTCATCAGCTCCATGAAGAAGCCCTCAAAATTTTCAAAAAAAAAAAAAAGAAAAAAACTCGAGAAATTTGCCGTGCTAGCAATCAATTAGGATAAGGGGAAAAAACGGTACAAAAGACAGTTCTGCCTGTTTCACGAAAAGTGGCATGGCACTCCTCTGAGAAAGTTGGATAATGAAAGATGTAAAACGTAAGAATATGTAAGCATTACCTGATAGTAAAGAACGACAAGATATCGATTGGATACATTAAAACCGGACAAGTGCTCACATGCATTCTTGGCATCAAAAATATCTTCATAGACCACAAATGCCGTTCCTCGAGTGTCTGCTGCATTTCCACTAGAAACAGATGAAACGTTCATTTTCAGAAAGCTGTATACTAACGAATTAATAGGCCAGATACCTTCTCTTCTGCCATTAGCTTGCTTGTAAGCAACCTTCAGAAGAAGGATCCATCGACAACCTTGTCAGCCGGTGGTTGCTATTGGCATTTGCTACTTCCCAAGTGCCTCTTCCTGTCACTGTGAGCAAAATACGCAGGGGTTTTGATTTTGCTTCGGATCTCCCTCCCTTAACTCAGTTACCCTCGGAATCACCGTATGAATTACGGCCATTGTCATTCTAAGAGTGACTAAAAGCTGCACGGGGCAGATGGTCATTTCTTTGCCCGCTTCATTTTCGTAGTTTCCATAAATCCAGAAGCCAAGGACAGGTACCATGCATTTGCGTGGAATTTATGGAAAATATGGAAATGTTTTCTACGAAAATAGAGAATATCCCTGCAAAGTTTCAGCTTTCTACGTGGCCTGGTTCGCGAAATCGTTTCCCGCTAACATATTTCTTTGGGGTGCCCGTACACGGGGTCTAGGCGCGTATGGGGAGAGATCTTAAAATGGATGGCACAGGGAAACTCTTCTTTCCCCAGCGCTAATGAAAATGATATATTAAATTAATGTTTGGATAAAAGTGGGATTTAATTGATCACAAAAGGTAGTCATACTCTCCATCAGATGCGCGGTGTGGCAGGATGTTACTTCGATCGTGCAAGAAAGTAAAATTCGATGGACAGGGCAATGTTGCTTACTAACAATCATCGTTGAATATCGCGTACTCATGGGAAGGTAAATGACCAGCTGGGGAAAGATGGCTCACATGCATCTGTTGCACAATAATTCCCTCCTAGGTAGGTCAGGTAACGGCGCTAAGTGGCCTGATAAGGCCGCTGTGTCAGTATTGTAAAGCAGTGTCGATCCAGTGTGGTGCTGTGGTATTGTGGAGGCGACCAAGATGACTCATGAGGGGCGCGGACTCTACTACCCCGAACCATCGCCAAGGAGTCGACGACACTGCTTTTATTCACTGTCAATTCTTTCAAAAGGTCCGCGTTCGCCTGCTTACGACAGTGCCGCCTGACGCGATTCGTTTCGTCCGTGATCTACTTCGTCTCGTCTGTGATTTACTGCGTTCCCCTGTGATCTACTTAATCCCGCGCTCGTGCGTCTGTAACTGATATCCCGTGTAATAAAACTTCTCTTACTTTGGTCTGGTCCGACACCTTCCAGGGGTAGTTCGATCTACTGACATGTGCGGTACCAAAATTCAACAACCACACTTTTTCTGCACTTTCAAAATTCAGTAACCAAAATTCGACAAGTCGGAGCATCGGGGCAGTCGACGAGCCGCTTAGCCACCAACTCAACGCATCGAACCCAGGTATTAAGTGCTAACCGGAGGAATGCAACTCAGGGCATAGGACTTTGCGCAGCTGCTCTCGAACATAGTGCGAGCAGTTCCGTCGGGTTCTTTCAGGTATCGCATCTTTACACCCCCAGATATCGGGTACCCTCACCGATTATTCACAAAATTTTGTTGATATTTGAGCTTTATTAGAATAAAAGGCAGTACGGGCCCAAGAGGCCCTGTGAGGAAGTGGAGGAGAATAGAAAGAAGGGGTCGGAACAGCGGCCCAATCAGCGAAGGGTATTGAGTGGCAGAGGCCGCACCAACCCTACATGCAATAAGAATAAGCAGAGGTAGGAGGTGGCCGTCCAAAATCCCAGGAGATAATGAGAAAAGGAAAGTAAATAAACAGCAACGCGCAACAGACTAGCCGGTGCGATTACGCGTTTTGTGCAATTCAGCCCATCGAACGACTGCTTATTAATGATTTTCACTGCTTTGTACTTTAG